GAAGCTAGGTCAAGCAGCAGATTTTGATTATTCTAAAGATAAATCATGGTTTTTGGGAATAGTGATAAATACTGGTTTGAGATAAAAAGACTGGGTTTAAATCCCAGTTTTCCCATTTATAGACTTTTTTTTTTAAAGAGGGTCCTTCTCTGGTCCCTAGGCTGAAGTATAGTGGGTCTATCACAGCTCTCTGCAACCCTTAACTCCTAAGCTCAAGTGATCCTCTCGTCTCGGCCCTCTTGTAGCTAGGACTACGGGTGGGAGCCACCATGCCTGCTTCTTTTTTCCTTCTGTTTGTCTTTTTTTCTTTTTCTTTCTTTTCTTTATTATTATTTTTTTCCCTTTGGAGAGACACCCAGGATGGTCTTGAAATCCTGGCCTCAAGTGATCCTCCAGCCTCAGCCTTCCAAAGTGCTGGGATTACAGGCATGAGCCACTATGCCAAACCTTACAGACTCTTATATTGGACAAGGTTCTTGAACTCTCTGAGTCTTAATTTTATCACCTGTAAAATAGAATTCTAACAACCCTGCAATGGAGGAATTAAGGACTGTGTATATAAACTCTTATCAAGTGGGTACTCACTAATTGTTATTGTTACTGATAGTAAAGACGAAGTGTAGGTGAGTATTGGTGCTGGAATTACATGGAAACCTCATATTCTGGGGCATGGATAAACACAAGCAGGAAAAAGCAACCCAAAGTTACTTTTACCTTGGCCCTTATTCCTGATCTCCTTGGGTTTACAGAGATCTGCTTGCATAAAATGGCAAAGAGATTTGCATTCTAGTTTCTGTAGAGGGAATAGTTATGTAAAAACAAGTAGTGATTGAGCATTAGGAAGAAAACGAATGTTTAGGATTTCAATTAGTGTTGCATCATTCTTGCATTTAACTTATGCACTGACTTGCAAGCCTGCCCCAGTGTAGATATAACATCTTGGCATTTACCTTGTGTGCACTGCCCTAGGTGCTATCATACATATGTAGATATACATATTTTTTTCTTTTTTTCTCATTTAATTCCCCCCAAGATTCTGAGAGACAGGTTTTTGTAACTGCTATCTCAGGAAGCTAAAGCATGGAGAAATTTATCCAGAGCTGGAGCTTGAGGCTACATTTTTTCCCCTGAGGATAAGGAGAGATGATACTGTATATGGTAAACTTAGTGATATTTGTTAACTCAGCCAATATTTTTTATAATATACAAGATACTGGCCGGGCACAGTGGCTCACGCCTGTAATCCCAGCACTTTGGGAGGCCGAGCCGGGTGGATCACGAGGTCGAGAGATCGAGACCATCCTGGTCAACGTGGTGAAACCCCGTCTCTACTAAAAATACAAAAAATTAGCTGGGCATGGTGGCGCGTGCCTGTAATCCCAGCTACTCAGAAGGCTGAGGCAGGAGAATTGCCTGAACCCAGGAGGCGGAGGTTGCGGTGAGCTGAGATTGCGCCATTGCACTCCAGCCTGGGTAACAAGAGCGAAACTCCGTCTCAAAAAAAAAAGATACTAATAGTTATGTAGGAGAAAATTAAATCAGCGAATGGATTTGATGCCCTGTGAAACATAAGGGGTTACTGTTATTTGTAGTTACTGTAAGAATTTTTGCTTCTCGGTGCATAAGATCTACCGTGGGGAACAGTGCAAGTGCTGTTCTGACTTGAGAGTTGAACAGTTTGGGACTTGATCTCAGCTTCCCTTTTCACTGGTTACTGAGAACTTGTTTTCCTACCTATAAGACAGAGACAATAAAACCTAGCTCATCAGTGCAAGATTATTGAATACAAGGAGAGAATATTAAAATTCATCCCAATAAGTCCACTGTAGTCATAGGCAGCATGACAGAGGTCACAGATCTTATACATCCAAGTAACATACCAATGCCAAGTTGGGGAGAAGGATTTGGTTTTTAGGATTTTACTTTCTGTTTCTGAAGACTCTTTTATTCTTGAGAAAATGTGGAAGGGGTAAGTGGAAGAACAATTTTTTCAGTGCAGCATCAGGCAAAAGAAAAGCAGATTTTTTCAGATGGTTAAAGCCTATGGCAAAATAGCTAACTTTCCCTTTAAGGTGTTTGGTAACCTGGAAAGGACAGCTGGCGTGGGCAGAAAACTTGTTCCAGACAAACACTGTCCCGGCAGTTTTCTAATTCCAGACTTTTACCCTGGGGCAAACACCTCAACTTTTAGTTTCATACCACCTTCCAGTCCGTATCTTACTCCTGAGCCTAGGGTGCTCACACTGAGCTCTGCCTCTGACGTGTTGTTAGTTTGCTCTAAAATCACTTACCTTTTGTGTGACTGGAGTCAGGCTGACATGGAAGGCTCCTGCAAACCCTATTTAGGCTCTCTGGAGACAGAGTGGGTGGTTGGAAATGGAAAGGGAAATGAGGGAAATTTAACCCCATAGAATATCTTCCCCATGAGAGTAGCTTAGCACTACACGAAGAGAGCTAAAAACCACAGACTTCCAGGGCTCGTCTGATACGCAGGTTCCCTTGGATGCTCTAACAGGTATTAGAAATAATATGATAGGGAACCAAGCTGTTGCAGGGGAGGAAGAATCTTTTCCTTGACATATCTTAGGTTCTCTAGCTGGGGCCCGGTGCATTAGACTGGCCAAAGACGAACAAAAGTAAAGCAAGTTTATCAACGTGTGCATTGTTCATGTAGGTAACATATAGGAATACTCAGAGATAAGCAACTCAAATGTTTGTTTAGAACTTGGGCTTGCACCACTGCACTCCGTCCTAGGTGACAGAAACTCCATCTCAAAAAAAAAAAAAAAAAAAAAAAAAAAAAAAAAAAAACCAAAAAACAAAAAACTTGGGCTTATATAGCATGTTAGCAAAGGCACAATAAATTTTTTAGAGAAATGACAAGATAAAGGATCTTGAGTCTCTAGGGACAGCAGATTGTGGGAAGACAAATTTATGGGAGACTAGCTGCAGATAAAGGCTAGACACTAAAGTTTATCATGTAGATTCTTCTTGTGTTGTCTCCAGGCTGACAAGGGTCTACGATCGTCTCTGGTGATTAATCTTTGTCCTTCCTGGTAGAGCAGGCAGGAGGGTAAACTTTGCAAACTTATATCCTGCTTTTTGGCAGATAGAGGGAAGGCAGAATGCTTTTCTAGTACCTTGTACCTATTTGCTTCTTCCTAATTGTCTTCAGCTCAAAATAATCCTTAGGCTGAAGTGGCACACACTGTCAATGATCTTGAGTAGATCGAAGGCTCCAAAGCAGAGTGCAGTGTAGTACTGGATCTCCAAGCATCTTTCTGCAGTGAGTCGGGTATTACAATGCTGTTTTCAGTGAGTGTGCCATCCATCGGTGAGGAGAAATGAGAGGAGCTAGAAAAATAAACTGACAGCTAGAAAAAGACACTACTCAATCAACAAATAGACATTTCTTGAGACAATAACATGCTCAATGTACAATTGTGAAAAAGTAAACGGGGTAAGGTCCTGAAAAGTGATGGTGGTGAGAATTTATACTTCTCAGGTGCCCAGGGGAAGCTAGATTTACAGACTCCTTTGCCTTTCAGTCCTTTGGAAAACTGAGGAAAAGCAAAAGAGGGACCATACCTTCAGGTAGAGTGGCTCTTAGCTAGAATGAGGGGAAGTGCCCCAGAATCCAACCTCCTCCTAAGAGCTGTGTGACAGGCAAGTCCTACCCTTTCTGCACCTCTTTCCTTAAATGTAAGATGAAGCATTTGGACCAGACTTTCTATGATCTTCTAGATTGCTCTTGCCAAAACAGAACTCTCCATTCCTGTGAGTAAGATAAGTACACAATGGCTCTCAGAGATCTAAAAATTGGCCTTGGTTTCCTGCAAACTTTGGGGTCCCAAGGTACAAAAATAATAGCCTTTCTTTTTTTAAGGTTCATGAAAGCTTCAGACACAAAAGCTTATATGGTCTTCGTCTCTACAACTAAACCAGGGAGTAAAGAAAAACCTCACTAATTTCAGTAAAGCGTTGCTATTAAGCAAGGCAAACCTAGGCAAATGTCAAGTTACTGACGAGGGTTGTTTCCTAAGAGGCTGTCCTCTGATGCCCCCGCCCCTCCTCTGCCTCAGCCACGTGGCAGACAGGCACAAGCTCTCACACAAGCACGTACATGGGGGCGCAGGGAACATAACACTGGTTATTGGGTCAGTGTCCCTTGCCCATAGACTGCAACTTTTCCCCTCCCTCCCTCTCCACCCTCTCCCCACTTTCTACACCTAGGTTCTCAGGGAGGCTCAGGGAGGATCCCCCGCTGCGTGCACCGCGTTCTGCGTTGCCTGGGGGAGACTCTGCGCCCGAGGTCGGGGCGGAGCCAAGGCCCTAACCCACAGATTGAACGGGTTTGAGGATTACCCGGAGGGCTCAGGATCTAGGAGGAGGGCCCAGGGCGCAGGGTTGGGGTTATTCTGGGAGAGCTTTGTGGGGCCAGGGTTCTTAGGGATAGAGCTGGATCTGCCAGCTAGGGGAAGAGCTCTAGACCTGCCGGAGCGAAGTACTGAGTGGCTGGGGCGGAACGGGACCAGCAGGCGCGGTCTCCGCGAGCCAGGGGAGGAGCTCTGCACTGTCAGGGGCGCGGCTCTGAGTAGCGGGATTGGGGTCCAGAGCAGCAGGCGTGGCCTCCACGAGCTAGGGGAGGAGCACTGTACCGTCGGGGGCGGGGCTCTGAGCAGCGGGGCGGGGTCTGAACTAGCAGGCGCGGCCCCTGAGAGCTGGGGGCGGGGTTCTGCACCCCGAGGGGCGGGGCTCTTGGTGGGCGGAGTTGGGATCTGGAACAGCAGGGGCGGCCTCTGCGAGCTGGGGGCGGGGGTCTGCATTGGCGGGGGCGGGGCTCTGAGTGGTGGGGGTGGGGTCTAGAGCAGCAGGCGCGGCCTTTGCCAGCTGGGAGCGGGGTTCTGCGTGGCCGGGGCGGGGCTCTGCGTGGCCGGGGCGGGGTTCTGCGTGGCCGGGGCGGGGCTCTGCGTGGCCGGGGCGGGGTTCTGCGTGGCCGGGGCGGGGCTCTGCGTGGCCGGGGCGGGCTCGGGATCTGCTGGGCCACTCCGGGTCTGGCTTGGGCCGGCTGCCCGGGCGGTGGTGCGAAGCCGGAAGCAGCCGCGGCCCCAGCTCGGGAGACATGGCGGGCGTTAAAGGTACATCGCGGTCCCCGGCCCGCTCCTCGTGTGGTGGGGTCGCCACCTCCGTTCTGGTCAAGCCTGGGGCTGCGCCTTCCGTGCGCCGCTGGGGAACGGCCTTACCACCCTTCCCGCCTCTCCGGGTGGGGAGGCGATCGCCTGTTTCCTTCGTCCTTTGGGGTGCGGGTGGAGCGGCGTTTCACGGGAGCCTCGACCCTTTTTGCGAGGCCGCTGGCCTTCCCACCCTCCAGTGGCGGCACCAGAATCCCCCCATCTCAGGCGGATCCCCGCCGTGAGCGGCGCCTTCCACCCTCCAGAGTTTTTAAACAAAATTTCCACTTCTTGACGTGTCCATCCTAACGCCTTTCCTCGGGTTTTTTGCCCCTCTGTAGTTTCCTGTTTGTTACAAAGGACACTTTGTCTCCCGGATTCTTAGCGTTTGGAAACTTAATCCTCTTGTTCCTAATGATTTTTACACCTGGGCCGAGTTGAGCGCGGGCAGGTGTCAATGGAAAGCACCCAGAAAGGCGCTGTTTCTCGCAGTCATGGAGAGATTAGGTGTAATTTTAACACTGTTTTCTTCGGTGTTCTCTATGTTCGTCTATGGACAGAGAAGAAAGTAGTGTTTGTGTAGTATGTTGTTTTTGCATGGGGCAGTTAATAAAAACACCGCTTCGCTTATCTGCATGGCTTCAGCAATATGAGACGGAAAAGGTTTTTTGCAAGGCTTCCTGTTATTTTGGTAGGAAACCATTCCATTTCTAATCTATCGAATAGAGTAGCGTGATTTGTTTTTACATTGGCGTTTGTATCATCCTTGAAATTTGCACCCAAAGATATTCTCAGTTAAAATCTGCTATAAACATGTAGATACTATATATGCATGAGTCCGCCTCTGTTCGCTCTGAATTTATCTGAGTGTGTGAACTGTTAGCAGCAGACATATTTTATCATTATTTCTGGCTGACTTTTATATTCATTATCAGTTTAGTAAACATGATTTTACTTGGAGAGTGTCGCCTGTGTTATTATATATCTATTTGAAACCAATGCTGAAAACAGATGAAAAGTAGTGTCTCAGTACTGCACATGATCAGAAACTACCAAATCATGATCATGTTTATGTGTGAATGTGTTAGAAAATCGTGATGTAAAAAAAAAGGGGGGGGGGGCCGGGCGCGGTGGCTCATGCCTGTAATCCCAGCACTTTGGGAGGCCGAGGCAGGTGGATCACGAGGTCAAGAGATCGAGACCATCCTGGTCAACATGGTGAAACCCCGTCTCTACTAAAAATACAAAACATTAGCTGGGCATGGTGGCGCGTGCCTGTAATCCCAGCTACTTGGGAGGCTGAGGCAGGAGGATTGCCTGAACCCAGGAGGCAGAGGTTGCGGTGAGCCGAGATCGCGCCATTGCACTCCAGCCTGGGTAACAAGAGCGAAACTCTGCCTCAAAAAAAAAAAAAGGAAGTGTTAAATGGAAAAGGTCTGAGGGAAGGAAGCATTTTGCCGATTCTTCAACTTTTATTGAGGAACTACTGTATGCCAGAGACTTAGGATAAAGATAAACGAGAAGTTGCTGGTGGATGACAAAGCTGGAAGTAATATTACTATGTGAGTGTTTATAATGGGCTCAGATGCTGTGGGAGAACAGAGATGGTGGGTTGGATTTTGTCCTCCGAAAAGATACGTTCAAGCTCTAATTCCCTAGTACCGGTGAATGTGATCTTATTTGGAAGTAGGGCCTTTGCAGATGTAATCAAGTTAAAATGATACTGGTTTAAGGTGGACCCTAATCCAATGACTGGTGTCCTTATAATAAGAGAAGAGGGGAATTTGGGCATGGAGACATACATGGAGAGTACCCTGTGAAGATGGTGACAGAAATTGGAGTGATACAGCTACAAAGCCAGGAGGGCCAAAGATTGCTGGCAACCACGCTGGCAGTCACTGGGTGTTAGGAAGAGGCAGGCAAGGAAGGGTGCTTCCCTACAGCCTTCAGAGGGAGTGTGGTGGTGCTGCTGACACCTTGATTTCAGAAGTCCAGCCTCTAGAACTGTCAGAAGATGAATTTCTGTTGTTCTCAGCCATCTAGTTTGTGGTACTTTGTAACAGCAGCCCTAAGAAACTGATCCAGGTGGGATTACTTTTCCCTGCTCCAGGGAGAAAGAGGACTGTTATCACGGAAGAGACTAGGCTTGCACTGAATCTGAAGAGATTCATACGGCTTCACCTGGCAAGGCATGGAGCATAGGTGGAGTATATCCCAGGTGGAGAGGACAGCATGTGACATGGGGCAGGGAGCATGAAACAACATGCCTTCTTCTCTTCAGGTACTTAAGCTACATTAGTAAGACTGGAACTTAGTGGTGAGGGTTGAAGCTGGACAGGCAGTTAGGAGTGAGTCAGACCAGACCATGGTGAGCCTCCATGCCAGGACAACTTATAGGCTGTGGAAGCAACTGCAAAGCAGTGGTGGCAGTGATAATATATATTTGGAAGATCACTGTCTGCTGTGTAGAGGATGGATTGGAAGAGTCACAGAGGCGGGAATGAGAGGATAAGGGCCCGCACCAGGGCTGCAGAGAGTTTAATAAGCCTGGGAGATTGACATTGATTTGTTGGAAGGTGGAATACAGTTATGGTGTCAGTCCTCTTTAGATAGGACCTTTAAAGGGTAGGGATAGTGGTTCGGTTTTATACATGTTACACATGTTGAATTTGAGGTCCTTGTTGGCTGTCAAGGCAGAGAAGCCCAGATTGGAGGTGGAAGTACAGGCGTAGTTCTTGAGGACCTACTCTGGGCTGGAGCATCAGTTGTGATGGGGCCTTTGTGGTACTGGGAGCTCTGGGTTGATTGTAATTTTTCAGCAGGAGTGTGTAGTATGAGATGGGGTTGGATTTTTGGTCAACTCCAACTTTAAGAGGTCCAAAGGATGTAATTCCTGAAAAGAGAGATTAAAAAAAAAAACCAAAAAGAATTAAACAGAAATATGGTTGTGAACCTTGAGAAACTGGTATCAGAACAGAAGGAAGAGGTCTGCATTTCCTAACTGTGACAGGCCTCATGGTGGAGGGAGTACTGCAGATGGTCAGAAACAGAGGAGAGGAATGCCTACTAGGAAAAGAGTATCTAATGAAATCATATGTGGAATTTGCTTTCCATCCACACATGGGCATTTTCCATTAAATTTAATTTTCCATTAAAGAGTGGCAGGTACTAAATGCAAAAAGATATGTTAAAATTGACAGTTTTTCTTTGTCCCCTAACATCTGTATACTTTCAGATGTTTTTAAAAAAGCACTTTGGCAGCCGGGCGCGGTGGCTCACGCCTGTAATCCCAGCACTTTGGGAGGCTGAGGCGGGTGGATCACGAGGTCAAGAGATCAAGACCATCCTGGTCAACATGGTGAAACCCCGTCTCTACTAAAGATACAAAAAATTAGCTGGGCACAGTGGTGCGTAACTGTAATCCCAGCTACTCAGGAGGCTGAGGCAGGAGAATTGCCTGAGCCCAGGAGGCGGAGGTTGCGGTGAGCCGAGATCGCGCCATTGCACTCCAGCCTGGGTAACAAGAGCGAAACTCCATCTCAAAAAAAAAAAAAAAAAAAAAAGCACTTTGGCATCTTCCTATGAGAGTCTCTCTAAATCTCCTCTCAAGTAAAAGGAAGCAATCAAAAATGTTCATCAGCTTAATTAATTAATTACTAATTATGAGTATTATAGATTTTTTTCAGAAGAAAATTTGGATAATACAGTCTCCTATGCTTTTGATTTCTACCTTTATCAAAGAACATTGCTAAAATGGGAAGATACCTAGGTCAGTCAGCATCTATTTGACTACCTCCTTTTGCCAAGCACTTTCCATAGATTATCTCATTTAATTCCCATAAGCTCAATTAGGTGGCAGCAGCATTTCGATTTTACTGGTGAGGAATCAGACGCAAAGGGGTTTAGCTTCTACCCAAGGTTGTAAGAACAGATGGTGGCAGAGTTAAGATTTGGCTCATATTTGTGACTCAGAGCTCAAGATTTTTTTTAACAACGCTGATACCCTGTTTCTCAATCAGCAACATGACAAGGGCAAATATGTTCCTACTCTTGTAGAGATTCCGTGTCCAATAGATACAGGGAATAAATATTTTATTCAGTGTACACTAGTTGAAATTGTTTCCTACGTAGGCATGAAAGCAATCTTCAAATACTTAAAGTACTGTCGTTTTGGGAGGCAAAATGATCAAAAGTCTATATTACAGGGAGGCAGTTCTGGATGATTTAAAGGAGGGCTTTCAACATTTAGAAACTGTTGGAATTAAATGACCTGCCTTGGGTGGTAGTGAGTTTTCTTTCACTGGAGTTGTGTTGACTGACTGGCTGGCCTCTTGTGACAAATATAGAGGGAATCCATACATTAAATAAGAGTTAGGAACTGGAATTACTTGAGCCTTTGTATACCCTATGATTTTAAGGTGGCAGACATGGGTCATTGTCTTAATTAGTTTGGGCTACTGTAAGAAATATATTGTAGACTGGGTGGCTTAAACAATGACATTTAGTTTCCACAGTTCTGAAGACTGGGTAGTCCAAAATTTTGGTGCAGTCAGATCTGGTGTCTGGTGAGAGCCGGCTTCCTGGTTTGCAGGCCTGCTTTCTGCTCTCACTTGGAGAACAGAGTAGGGAAGAGAGAAAATGTGTGTGCTCTACTTTTCTCTTCTTATAAGGACACTCATCCCATTGTGAAGACCCCACCCTCATGACCTCATCTGAACCTAATTATCTCCCAAAGGCCCACCCCCTAATGGCATCTCATGGTGAGAGGGATGGAGCCAGGAGGGTTGCAACATGACTTTGAAAGGGATGTACAGAATGCAGTTTGTAACAGGAGTCATTTGCAGTCAAATGTAACCCCAATAAAATGAGTAAATTGTTACATTTGCTTGAATTTGGGACCTTTTATTCTTTTTTTTTTAGTAAACATTTTTATTGATAAATGATTCACATACTATAACATTAACCTTTTAAAGTGTAAGATTTCATGGTTTTTAGTATATTCAGAAGGTTGTGCAGCCATCACTACTCCCTAATTTCAGAAAATTTCATCACCCCCCCACAAAGAAACTCTGGATCTGTTAGTAGTCACTCCCCATTTCCCCAAACCCTCTAGCCCCTGGTGACTTCTGCTGTGGGAACTTTAACTCTCGGCTTTATTTTTCACAGCTCTTGTGGCATTATCCTTCAGTGGGGCTATTGGGCTGACTTTTCTTATGCTGGGATGTGCCTTAGAGGATTATGGGTAAGTTGTCATTTCAAAAAGAACTATTCCTCTTTCTGTGCCTTTGTCACTATTAGTATGGGAGTTAGAGAGTTTGGTCAGTTTAGCACCAAGTTCTAACGAATGAGTTAGTGAAGCCCAGATTATGACACAGTCTCTTTGTAGGTCAGGTGTACTTTTGCAGAAGAAAAGGCTCTGTTAAAAATTGTTGTGTTCATTCCATAAGCATTTGTTTAACACCTACTCTGGACTAGCTGGAGACATACAAATGAAGAGAGACAGTCTGGTCCTCAAAGAGGTACAGTTCTAGTTGTGAGTGAGAGACAGGCAAACAGTCTAGTCAGTAAGGTGGCAGCTGCAGTAGAGATGCCAGCCTAGTGTGCTGGAGCTCAGAGAAAGTGCAGCTGAGTTTCAGTGAGACAGTCGGGGAGGGCTGCATGGCAGAGGTTGTATCTGAACCAAGACTTGGTAGATAAAAGTTTCTTAGGCTGATAAGTCAGGGGAGGACATTCCAGGCAGAGGAAACAATATACACATTTTTTTTTTATTCAACCATTGTTGGTTGAGTGCCTCTCATGAGCCAGCTACTATTATGGGAACTAGGGATTATGACTAGGGATTAAGACATAAGAAAACAAAGGTCCTGCTCTCTCAGAGTTTCTGTTTCAGTGGGGGAGATAGACATTAAACAACAAAAGTGTGCATTCTCTCGGAGGTAGAAGTGGTACAAAAGATAAAGGGCACAGAGGCTGGGAAGACCTTTCAGAGGAGATAAAAAGTGAGAAGAAATGTCAAAAAAGTCATGAAGCAGGTCATACAGATCTCTGGGGAAAAAGCGTTTAAGGCACCAGGAAAGCTGTATGCTAAGACCCAGAGACATGAAAGTGTATAGCCTTTTCAGGAAACCTTACATGGTACATTATGGTACAGCATAAGTTGTAGTTGGAGAGGCAAAGGAAGGGTTAGTTAAGGTAAGAGTCAGCATTTAGGGCTCTAAATGCCATGTAGAAGAGGTTCCATTTTATACTTCAGACAGTAGGAGCTGGAAAAATATCTTGAGAATGGGTTTGGAGGAGGGGGTTAGGTTAAAATGCTGTTCCTGCCATAATGTGAGACTAGACAGGAAAGTGCTGACATTGCAGTCAGGGAGAATAGGAAGGGACTGCTGTCATAAATCAAGCAAAACTGAAGGCTGGGCAGGGGGAATAGAAAGAAAAGGAGAGTGAGTTAGGAAGCCAAACCAACCAACGGGTTTTGTTCATTGATGTCAGGTTCAAAAAGGGGAGAGAGTTCTTTGATGTCTCCCAGGTGATTGGCTTGAATGACCAGATAGAAGATGGTGTGATTAGGTAGGGCATGGTGGCTCACGCCTGTAATTCTGGCACTTTGGGAGGCCGAGGCAGGCGGATCATGAGTTCAAGAAATCAAGACAATTCTGGCCAACATGGTAAAACCCCATCTCTACTAAAAATGCAAAAAATTAGCTAGATGTGGCCATATGCACCTGTAGTCCCAGCTACTTGGGAGGCTGAGGCAGAAGAATTGCTTGAACCCGGGAGGTGGAAGTTGCAGTGAGCCGAGATCGCACCACTGCACTCCAGCCTGGTGACAGAGTAAGACTCCATCCCCCCTCCACCCCCCAAAAAGAAGATGATATAATTAAGTGAGACCAACTGAAGTGAATTGTTATGATATTGATGAATTCAAATCTATCATCCCAGTCCTGGCCAACAATTACAGAAATTGTTTAAACCCAAGAAGGATCCAAATATAAGCAATCATTTATAATTGTTCGGAGCCTTCACAGCAATTACCTTATTGTAGCTTTAAGAATGTCATAAGGTATTAGGTATTATTATCCTCATTTCTTTTTTTTTTTTTTTTTTTTTTTTTTTGAGACGGAGTTTCGCTCTTGTTACCCAGGCTGGAGTGCGATGGCGCGATCTCGGCTCACCGCAACCTCCGCCTCCCGGGTTCAAGCAATTCTCCTGCCTTAGTCTCCTGAGTAGCTGGGATTACAGGCACATGCCACCATGCCCAGCTAATTTTTTGTATTTTTAGTAGAGACGGGGTTTCACCATGTTGACCAGGATAGTCTCGATCTCTTGACCTCGTGATCCACCCACCTCAGCCTCCCAAAGTGCTGGGATTACAGGCTTGAGCCACCGCGCCCGGCTATCCTCATTTCTTGCTGGGAAACTGAAGCCCAGAGTAGTTGAAGACTTACGCAGATTGCACAGCAGTAAGTGATAGAGGCCGGATGCAGTGGCTCATGTCTATAATCCCAGTACTTTGGGAGGCAGAGGTAGGAGGAATACTTGAAGCCGAGTTTGAGACGAGTCTGGGCAACAAAGTGAGACCCCATTCTACAAAGAAACGAAAAAAAAAAAAAAATTAGCCAGGCATGGTGATGTGTGACTGTAGTCCCAGCTGCTTGGAAGGCTGAGGTGGGAAGATTGGTTGAGCCCTGGAGTTGGAGGCTGCAGTGAGCTGTGATCACACTACTGCACTTTAGCCTGGGCAACAGAGCGAGACTCTGTCTCTTAAATAAAAAAGTAAAAAAAAAAAAAAAAAAAAGGCAGGCATGGAAATGGAACTCATGTTCTGACACTCTTGACCAAACGTTTTTCTGTTATTCCACAACCAACTCTAAATCTAGGAGTTTTAATTCTGTGTCTTTGTAAGGTAAGAAAATGAACCCATTACTGCTACTACAAAGAAGTTTATTTTCTATCTTTATTTAATTTTTTTTTTTTAGAGACACCACCACACCTAGCTGATTTTTTAAAAAAGTTTTTGTAGAGACAGAGTCTCTCTGTGTTGCTCAGGCTGGTCTTGAACTCCTGGCCTTAAGTCATCCTCCTGCCTTGGCCTCCCAAAACTAGTCACTATCTTAATGATAGTGAACCAGGATTATCATCTATATTGGAAGTCAACAAACTACCACATACGGCCTGTTATGTGTTTTTGTAATAAAGGTTTTATTGAAATACAGCCATGCTCATTTGTTTATGAATTATCTTTGGCTGCTTTTGTATTGCTCTGCCAGTTATCCTTGGCAGAGTTGAGTAGTTGAGACATAGTCTTTATAACTTGAAAACTTTTTCTGTAAAGGGCCAAAGATTGCGTGCTCATGTACAAGCAATCCTGTTTATAGACAAAATGTAAATATTAACTATATACATGTTTACTGATTTGTATATAGTTAGTATTTACATTTTGTCTATAAACAAGATTGCTTGTACATGAACATTTCTCTTAGTTGGATATTGGTGGCTTACTATGGATGGAAACATAGAGTCAGATTGTTTTTCAGAAAACTGTCACTGTATTTCAGGAAGAATTAAGAGTTCTTAACTGCAAATATGTCAGGTGACAGCTGTTTCTATTCCATGCCCCTTCCCTTCTTGTGTCTCCTTGCTCACTGTTAAAAGAAGGGCCTTGAACTGGAGAATGTCTCAGGGCTCCTTCCCACAATATTGTTTGGATTCTTGAAACATACCGTCATTCTTCTAGTTTAAAATTAGGAGTCCAAATCTACTGTTTCCATCCTGAGTCCTCTTGAAGGACACATTCCCTTCCTGCCTTTTGTTACCTAGATCAGTGGCTGGAATGGGAGGCTTTCATTAGTGTGGCTTCATCCCAGTTCCTGCTTGTAGGTGCTGTCTGGGTGTATCTGTGTGATCACAGTATTGTGGTGATATGAATTATTGTGATATATATATATATATATATATATATATATATATATATATATATAAATAAAATGAGCAGAGACTTTTTTCCTCAAGAAATGAAGCATAGGCCGGGCGCGGTGGCTCAAGCCTGTAATCCCAGCACTTTGGGAGGCCAAGGCAGGTGGATCACAAGGTCAAGAGATCGAGACCATCCTGGTCAACATGGTGAAACCCCATCTCTACTAAAAATACAAAAAAACTTAGCTGGGCATGGTGGCGTCTGTTTGTAATCCCAGCTACTCAGGAGGCTGAGGCAGGAGAATTGCCTGAACCCAGGAGGCGGAGGTTGCGGTGATCCGAGATCCCGCCATTGCACTCCAGCCTGGGTACCAAAAGCGAAACTCCGTCTCAAAAAAAAAAAAAAAAAGAAAGAAAGAAATGAAGCATAATGAATGCTTGATGGAGAAAAAAAGATTATTTTTGAAGTATTTATAGAAAAATACCTCTGGAAACCAGATGGCAATTTTTGTTTTATAACTACAAAATGTTGAAATTTGGGAAGAAAATATTTGTTTTGCTTTTGCATTACACTGTTACTTGTGAGCTCTTATACTGAAGATTAGAGTACATCTAAAATTTTTACTAGTGAGCATATTTATTTTCATGTCTTCCGCACTTAAAATTTATTTGTTATCTTATTCATTTAACAAGTACATGATTCTAGGCCCTGGAGATAAATTGCGATTGACCAAGAGTGATCTATCAGAGGGCAGTAAGTGTTGTGCAGAAAGTTAAAAGAGGGTGGTATGTTTGAGGGTGACCTGGGGTACTTTAGAATAGAAGGCCAGGAAAAGCTCCTTTTAGAAAGGAATTTGTCAGTTTTGATCACATGGTATGAAGGAGTCAGCCAATGAAAAGATGATGGGGAAGGACATGCAAGCAGAGGGCACAGCTAGTGCAAAGGCCCCAGGATAACATCTATGAGCTCAGAGTGTTCAAGGAACAGAAAGAAGGCTGGTGTGGCTACAGATTAAGCAAATGAAGGGAAAATAGTACAAAATGAATGGAAGAAGTAGATAATACCAGACCATGTAAGGCTTTGTAGGTTAGGGCAAGGAAGTTGGGGTTTATTCTAAGCCCTTAAAAGGTTTCAAGGATGCATGCACTCATAGGATCTTTACCGAATTAGCTTTTGCAAGACACTGTACTATTTCTATAGGGAAAGCAGAAATGACCAAGTTAAAATTCTGTCTCTAAAGAAACTGCAGCTCAGTAGTACAGAAAACAGTAAAGTTTCTAGAGTATATGTTATGTAGTAGTTTCTTAACACAAGATAAGCTACCTACATAGTAATTTAAAAATTATTACTACTTATCTACCTCTGGTAGAAATCATCTTATGTTCTAATATTCACAACTAATTTTTTTTTTACCTACACATTGAAAATAGCAATGATTTTGAAATAGTAGTATGTCTTTTATTTAAAGTGTAACTGTGACTTTTCTTTTTGGGTTTTGCCTGGGTTCAACTGACAGCGTTTACTGGCCCTTATTCGTCCTGATTTTCCACGCCATCTCCCCCATCCCTCATTTCATTGCCAAAAGAGTCACATATGACTCTGATGCAACCAGTAGTGCCTGTCGGGAACTGGCATATTTCTTCACTACTGGAATTGTTGTTTCTGCCTTTGGATTTCCTGTTATTCTTGCTCGTGTAGCTGTGGTAAGTTTTGTTTTCTTTGTTTTGCTCTACTGTTGCTGAGTTTACTTCAGAGGCCTGTGTCTGGGACCTCTGTTTCATTTTCATTCCTTAGAGTTTATACTTAAGGCCACGTATTTTTAGTTCCTCTCTTCCTCTACTTTAGACCTGCCTATCAGTAGCTTGGTCATGTTTTCAGAATGCTTTATTTCTCTTACAAGTATTAGCCAGACTATATGATTTCTTATTTTTCTACTTTAAGCTATTCTCTGGAATTGTTCTTAAATTCCTGCCTCTTAAATCTTACAGTAATCCACAGATATTATGCCAGCAATACTTTTCTAGTTACAAGATGAAAATATTTCAAATTCTTCTTCTGCAAATGGGATTATAGACTCAACTCTTAACTCAGTATAATTAGGTATATGTTGAAGGACATCTATGTAGCTTCCAGAAAAATGCAGTGAATAAGATGATATCTTCACTTCCAAGATAAAAACTTTCATTTTGTCTCCAAAGTACACATTGTAGGTATAATTTATTCAATTATTTGATGTTCACTGTCTTTCCTACTATTTGATTTTATTCCCCCCCCCCAATTACATTCTATTTCAATCTTATGAAACTCTTATTTGAGGCAATGAATATCAGATAAGTACAAATCTTATTTATTCATTCAATAAATATCTTTGGAACAACTGCTATTTGTAGAACATCAGAAGAAGATATGTACTGTCTCTGCTCCTAAGAAACACAGAAACTAGCTTGCTGGGTAAGGAGACTGTAAGTGTACTTTGTGAGACAGTTGAAACATGATCAGAATGGCACCACAACACAAAGGCGCACCAAGAAGAGAGAAATTCCGACTGGCATTTGATACGGGCCTTTAAGGATAAATAGCATTTGTATTGAAATAGGATGGCTGTTACATGGAATGACATTCAAGTGTAAGAATGCAATATATGGAACAAAGAAGAGTCCAGTGTGGTAGAGCTAAAAGAAAGTTGTTGAGATTAAGGCTGAAGAGTTTGTGAAACCTGATTAGCAAGGGTCTTGAACCCCATGTCAGTTTGAACTTTGTCTAGATGATGGGGAAGGATGGAATTTGAATACAACAAGATTGTCATGGCTTTATTCTTTTTGTGCTTTATATCAGCACTTCTTAAGCACTGCAGTAAATATTTATATTTTTTCCTTTTAATACTGCCATCATGTTTTGTGAATAAACTTGCAATGATGTTTTTATTGGTTAAAGTAAAACAAACAAAAAAATGCCCACTAGAGGGTACTCTCACCCCCAAATGTGCTTCTGTAAAACCTACAAATCATCTACCAAGCTGGAAAGCAGTTTTCACTGTATGAAGACTATTATTTAAAGTCTTTTCTTGCCTAGAAAAGAAATAAACAAATCCATAACTCTCCAATTTTTATTTTCCACGACAGAAGTTGATGTGTGCAGAAGTTGATGTATGCAGAACTTTCAGTACCCAATATTGTAATTGCACCATTTATAATATTACCACTTGAGTTTTACTTAAGGCAATCATTGTCAATTAAAAACAAGTAGAGAGGGGGCCGGGCACGGTGGCTCAAGCCTGTAATCCCAGCACTTTGGGAGGCCGAGACGGGTGGATCACGAGGTCGACAGATCGAGACTATCCTGGTCAACATGGTGAAACCCCGTCTCTACTGAAAATACAAAAAAAAAATTAGCTGGGCATGGTGGCATGTGCCTGTAATCCCAGCTACTGAGGAGGCTGAGGCAGGAGAATTGCTTGAACCCAGGAGGCGGAGGTTGCGGTGAGCCGAGATCGTGCCATTGCACTCCAGCCTGGGTAACAAGAGCAAAAACTCCGTCTCAAAAAAAAAAAAAAAAACAAACAAAAAAACAAGTAGAGAAATATGTCTAACTGGGAAAATGTTAAGGATGATATCAGACTTAATTAACAAGCATCACAGAAGTAATTAGACTAATTACTGAACAGAACAGTTCATTGTCTCCTGCCTGTTACATTATTAAGCCTTTTAGCAGCTTTGTGTAATATTTCATTGGATGTTTCTAATGCAGAAAATAATAGAGATTGCAAAGAGTACAATATGAAGGAAGTAAAGATTTAATCCTTCTTTTCTTGTCTTTCAGATCAAATGGGGAGCTTGTGGCCTTGTGTTAGCAGGCAATGCAGTCATTTTCCTTACAATTCAAGGGTTTTTCCTTATATTTGGAAGAGGAGATGATTTTAGCTGGGAGCAGTGGTAGCACTTTATTCTGATTACAGTGCATTGAATTTCTTAGAACTCATACTATATGTATACGTGTGCACATGCTGCATTTTACTATGAAATTTAATATGCTGGGTTTTTTAATATCTTTATATCATGTTCACTTTAAGGAAGGCTTCCTAAGTAAAAGTTGAGTTTTATTCTCAGCAAATAGACCTCTCAAATTTAGATTATGTTACTCAAATAATATTACTTGTTTGGCTGTTCATCTAGTCATGGTGCTCTCGAAAATATATTAGCAAAACCTTATAGACAGCTGCTCCCTTATACAGTGCATCTAAACCTTTTGCCTGGGGATGTGCTTGGAGAGGCAGATAACACTGAAGCAGCTCTCTATGGCCCACAAAGGCAGCGGTGGATCCCTCTTTGTGTTGTAGCCCCATATTCTTCAAAGTGTGGCCCACAGACCAAGAGCATTGACATTTCCTAGGACCTGATTAGAAATGCAGGATCTGAAGCTCTACTCTGGATCCAGGACATTTTGATGAGATCCATAGGAGTTGTATGCACATTAAAGTTGGAGAAGCATCATTATAGAGAAGTAAACATCTAACCCAACTTCCTTACCTTCTCAGTTGCTAAATCACTTAACCTCTCTGGGTGTTACCTGCTCATTTGTAAAAAAAAAAAATAATAATAATAATAATAAGGTCTCACCTGCCCTCATGCTGAGGACAAGTTCAAATGTTCAAGCCTATAATATTTAGGCTGTTCCTCAAATTTGTGAAAAGTGTTCTCAGAATTGGGAGATCGTCAGAGGGTACAAAGCCTTAGGAGGAATATGTGTGATTTTTTTTTTTTAAGATCAGTTACATAGCATACTAAATATGGGAATAATTGAATGTACATTTCAATATTGCTAAGAGTAAATTTTTAATGTTCTCATTACAAAAAAGTTAAATATTTGAGGTCATGATATGTTAGTGTAATCATTTCATCGTATATTAAAAAATCATAACACCATTTTGTACCCTATAAATATATACAATAGGCCGGGCGCGGTGGCTCAAGCCTGTAATCCCAGCACTTTGGGAGGCTGAGGTGGGTGGATCACGAGGTTGAGAGATCGAGACCATCCTGGTCAACATGGTGAAACCCCATCTCTACTAAAAATACAAAAAATAAATCAGCTGGGCATGGTGGCGCGTGCCTGTAATCCCAGATACTCAGGAGGCTGAGGCAGGAGAATTGCTTCAACCCAGGAGGTGGAGGTTGCGGTGAGCCAAGATTATGCCATTGCACTCCAGCCTGGGTAACAAGAGCGAAACTCCATCTCAAAAAAAAAAAAAAAAAAGTACATATATATATACACACAATAATTTGTCAATATAAAAATAAGTTTAAAAAAGTATATATATATATATGTATACACACACACACACACACACACACACACACACACACAATAATTTGTCAATATAAAAATAAGTTAAAAAAACAAAACATACCCCCTTGATCCCAAAAAAAGTTCTCAGTGGGGAACAGTATATCTTCCTATCTGAAAGGCAGTGCCGGGGGAAGAGCTCCACTGGGATGCGGGCAGGGAGGCTGGGCTGGAGCCAGGCCTTGCATTAGCAGGAGTGGGAGAATAGATAGGTAACTCTTAAATTTCCCTTGTGGTCTGGCACTTCTCCCAGCTCCTTCCCTCTGCCTCCCGCCTCTACTCCTCAACAGTTCTGGTTTGCTCTGACCTACAGCTCTGGCTCCTTCCTGAATGGATATAGGAGCCATGTAAGCACGCAGTGGGTGAGGTGCTTGATTTCATTACATGTTGATATACTCTTTGTCTTATAGCCTGCAGGTCTTTTATATATAACTTTATGCCACCCTTAAATGAGTCATGGGGTATACATGTCATGTTGAATCCTGTAATCACAGTTTTTCCAGCTTACCTTTTTGTCTAAGATCTATTGAGAAAGGGAAATATGGGAAAGAGAACCATCTGATCAGAAAACCACCAATAGTCTTTAAGCATTGTTAAAGTGTGAAACTGAAATGCATTCAAAACACTTAAACCTTGAGGCTTGTGATCTGAGTAATCAGCTGGTATGATGTTGGGACCATACGATAGAAAGTAATAACTAAAGGGTTAATCTGCAACGTTATTTTTTGGCCTTGTGTATGATTTTATGTTTTGAATGTGCGGTGTACATGTAGAATTGTTAAAGTTGTTATTCCCAATATTTATATTAGAAAAATTAGATATTTTATAATTTTAACCAGCATTTTTAATAATGGCACTCGCATTTATTGTATTGTAATAAATTTCACTTTTAACTTTAAAAGTTTTTGTTGTGATGTTGCCTTGCTTGAAAAGATAACAAAAGCGAGAGAATTTCTTAATGTTTTGAAGTGGGCAGTTTTGAGCAATCATCTGTCCTGCAATAGAACAATAGCAGTAAGTTTTAGGATACCATTTCGAATGTCTAGTTGGTGTGTAATAGCTTTTCTTTCTAAGATGGCAATAGTGATTCATTTCTACTGCATTTTGCAAAGGTGTTTTTGTTGCTTATATACATTTTCAATAACCAAGGTATGTAGCCTCAATAACCTTCATGTGTAGCCTTAAAGTATTACCTCTTGATTGTATCTTTAGACTGATATAAAGTACTTGGATATAGAGTATTTGAAGTGATAGATTATTAGATTTGCTGTATGTCTGAAAAGAGAGCTATTTATTCTGTAGTGCCTAAATGTCATTTAAATAGTATATATCAATAGGAAATAGTGCTATATCTGAATGTATAATACAAATGTTTCATCATGGTGACACAAATATTGGGCATTTTTCCACATAAAAGGCTTTTTTAAATATCGTAGAATATATTTGGAGATTCAGAGCATGGTGTCTCTAGTCTAAAACTGAGAATCCACTTCCGAAATGGCCCACAAGTAAATAATCTTATGAAGGGATTCTTTATCATGTTTCAAACAAGTGACTTCCAAGCAGACTTTGAGACACCTTTCCACAGAAACAATACCATGAATTCGCAATTGAGTTCCCAGGCCAAGCCTCCATTGGCAGGTTCAACTCTAATATACCTGACCTGTGATGCTGAAGGTGCCTGCCTGAGTTTTGTGTCTCTGAGACAGGATGGTGTGAGCAGTCTGGAGGAAGGACAGCGCAACTTTCCACCCCTTTTCCTGAGAACAAGGCCTTTCTCCTTTTAGTTTTTCCCCCCATTTTTGCCTCCTGATCCCCTTGAGGTCTGGGGACACTCCTGGGAGTTTTGCTCACCTCTCCCAACTGAGAGCCTTCCCATGGGCCTCCCTCCTCCCTCCTGAGGTTCTTCATATTCCAGAGTCACCCACCCTTCTCCTCCCATTAGTCAGTTCTCTAAGTACAGCTGATGTCATGTGGTGCTGCGAAGAAGGCAGATCACATTTCATCACAGATACAATGAATGCCTTGTGATTATCTTCTCTGGTATGATATTGGGACCATACGATAGAAAGTAATACATCTGAAACTCTGACGCCTGCATTGGACCGACTGCCATGCCCATGACTGCTGCACCTGCATTTTTAGAGAATGGCTGATAACCCACTGATTCTCATTCACAGAGAATGGGAGAATGGAATGAAAAAGCATTCCAGCAGCTTATAGAAGGTTAGCAATATTTTGGGACAGGGACAGTTCTACCATATCTCATCTCTTCCTCAGGAAGATTTCTGAGCTGGTCTTGCTTTTCATAGTTGTTTCTTTTCTTCCACTTAATGAATCCACAGATTTTTCTTACAGTCCTAAGGAGTCTTTACCTCTGAGGTTATCTCCTCTATGAATACACTTTTCAAGGCTGAAATGGTTCATTATATTAATAACCTTTTCTGTGTTCTCAGGGAAATGCTTAGGTGGTGTTACAAAAATGTGCCTTTTCAAAGTTTGCAAAATTGGATTTTGTATCCTGATAGAACCAAAATATTCTTGAGGATGCTAGCATTTTCTAAGCATAGTAATTAGTTCACAACTGAAAAATATTACTTCTCTAGTAGATAAATATTAGTTGTGCATTTTAATTCTTTTTCCATTTTGTCTCACGAAATACCTTACTACAAAAATCCCAGTGAGTAATAGCTCATAAATGATAATCTTTCAAATAGCCATGCTACCAGCATACAGCAGTGATACATGTAACCCCAAATGTGATGTGATGTGATAGGACAATTACTTTGTAAATAAAACTCGTTATTTACATTTTTAACAAAGGCTTTTATGTACATTATTAAATGAAAAATTTTATGTTTTACTTTGTGGTGCATTACATTTGGAAAGGAAATCCTTAAGTTAGTTTTCCCAGTGTTTGTGTCTGCATAATCTTAATGTGAATCTGACCAGTTTGAGGCCCGTACTTGCTGTAGTTGAAGAGACACAGTCCAGGAATGTTGTGCTGACTGGAAAGAATCCAGGCCTTGACTACAGCTTTGCTGTGGCAGATGCTCCCTGTGGTGGACGTGGAAGATGGGAAAAGCTGTATTGGAAAAGAGAAAAAACCTGACACCTTAAGAAAAGTGCTCTACATCTTTTGAAGAGTCTTTTTGTCAATACAGAAAAGAATGCACTAATGGAAAATAGTCTTGAAGGAATAATACGTCCTCCTTACGCAGAAAACATTTGGGAAAGAGCTGATTTTTTACAAGTGGATTTAGGCAGCCAGATTGTAAAGAAATCAAGCTAGTCATTTCCTTGTGTTGCCAAGCTAAGTGTAACATTAAACTTTTAACAGAAATAGAAATAAAAATTTGATAATACCAACATAACTATAAAATGTCCATAAGAAAAATCAGTTCCCAAGGAAAATTAATAGATGACCATTTTGAAACAGTTACTCGTGGTCAATACTAGGCACACAGGCAAAGTGGTCTTAATCCTAAGATTTCCCATTTGAAGAAGAGCACACTTGGAGACTGCACAATATCTCCTCACTTTTGATTACATCTTTATCAAAATTGAATAATGATAGTTGTTGACACTTCCAAATGAATATTCACTTAAGTGTGTGCATTCATTTTTCCCCTCAGAATAATTAAATAATAAAACCATCAGCTCAACTTTTGCTGGATAATAATTTCACTTACTAATTTAAAGCACAAATGCACCCATACCTCTACCTCAACACTTTCACTTCCTCTGTGGTTGAGAAACAAATTTTATCACCACACTCTGTAAAGTTTCATGATTCTTACAGCCTTCTCAAAACTGTATGCTTGTTCACCTGACAAACCCAGAAATCTTTAGTACTTCCAGCTGTCACTGCTGCAGCCTTGCCGTTTGTGGTTCTGTGACAGTGCTTCTGCTAAAATCCACTTAACCACTGATAGAAATAAACTAGAAGAGCTCTAAACACAGGTTTTAATTGGACTCCTGATTTAAGATACCACTTTAGTATCTGCAGTGAGTCATAGGCTTGATTTATTCAAGAGTCCATGGTGTTTGCAGTGAGTCTCACAGTGGTACTCAAGCTGATGCACTACAGCCTGGGGTCCCAACAGTCTGTTTTAGAGCACCTCTGTAACCTACTCACAGTGCCTGTGCAAAATGGTGTTTCCTGTTATGTATATCTTTTACCCAGACCATCTAGCCAGAAGCTCTGAAACAGAGGGTTCTAACGAAACACTGCC